TTAAATTATTTCCAGGGTTAATCATGCTGCAAATGCTCTTTGAAATTACAAAACTCATCATATATATTAATGGTGTATTGTGTGTTACAACTAATAAACATAACTACAATGCTGGCCAGGAGCAGCGAGTTAGTGTTGTAATTCGTTCCCACTAAATTGTATAGAGACAGAAAGAAACACAATAAAAGTGTATTTTAAAAGACATTACGAATGCAGTTGCCACAGACTACACTACAGAATGAGCGATGAGTTGAAACTGGAGACTGAATTAATATAACACATTTCACATTTATTTTCAACACCTTCGAGTCTTCAATTCAAAGGTTAAAGTTACAGAAACTCAATCTTAATGATTAGTGAGAGTCTGTCAACACATGGCGTATTTATGTAGTATTACGGCGCGTTGCATCATTTAGCGTTTGAGCCGCGTTTGTAGTAAGCTCTCTGGAGCTCAGCGGGTACCAAGTAAGGTCATGGTACAATGAATCAAATCTTGTTTCACCTTAGGTTTTTGCGATTAAATTCTACAAAATCAATTTCCTATTTACATTGACTATGTGTCATTTTCCACGATGTATCACCACAGCTTGAGGTTTCATAACTATTACGTACAACATGTGAGTAACGATTTTTGAAGCAACGCAAAACATACATCATATACATCAAGGCAGTTCAGTGTAATAATGATTGTATAATATATTCACACTATTATTATTATAATATTCATGTCTTCATACTAAAAGGTTATTGCGTAAATTATGCACGAAGGCAGTACACCGGGAGTATCGACCGACGCGCAGCGGAGTGCGATGCGACGGCGTACTGTCTGAGTGCATACTTTGCAGTATTTGCAGTATACTTGAGACTTGGATTGTCTCCAAAATTAGTAATCATTTAACTGATGCATTCCGAAACCATAAATACAATTATATTTTATAATCGCAATACGGCGAACTAACAAAATGCAAATGAACCATGATGCTCTACGATGTCTTGAAAATGCGCTCACAAATTGCGTTCAGTGTAAGTTGTTAGTTGCATTTAGAAGCTACGAAAAGAATGTAAGGGATTAACAGGATGTCAAATTCTTGACCTTATAATATCAAACTGATTACACTCATGTTATAAAATGCTCGAAACAAATGGTACTGTCTACACTCATATACCTGCCAACTTAAAATGGGCGACGTCCCGAGTTTTCTAATTATATGAAAGATGCTAATGTAGTAGACTTCTATTGTTAGAATATCTAGTTTTGGCAACCTTTGTAATTAATGTTGGCTGTTTGTTATACGATTAACAAAAGTATTTCCCACGTACATAAAATGTGGATAATATTATACAGGATACTGACGCTACAAATTCCGTTCGAATGCGAGTGACATGCGCATAATATGGGTGACCTGGCAGGTAAACACTCGTTAATAATAAACTGTTGTAATCTATTGTAGGTTTACTCGTGAGTTATCCTCTAGTCACGTATTATATAACAAGTGATATATTTTGATGCTGGCCGTACTAATTAACATATAAAAATATATATATATTCAATTCAACAGATATTGAGGGGGCGAGATTAACATATTTATCTGTTTTAAATTCATACCACATGCTACACATGTGTTGTCAATCCCGTCATGAATGGTCAGACATCAGAACCTGATATCGGTGATGAACAATTTAAATTGGTTGTATGTTTATTTGGTAGATACTTGCATCTGATGAGCCTAATAAGTAAGCAGTCCTATCATCAATTGTCTTACATTTTCAGTTGGACAATGAATATTTAGTGCACAACTTTTTGTCACCATTGGCTAATTTATGCTATCTTTTTTGAAATAACTATTTTTTGTATTGCCCACTAAGTCATGTATAAATGGACCGAAAACAAGATATTACAATACTTGATAAAACATATTTTTCTACATTAATCACTACACAAAGGGTGCGTAATATTATGATAAATAATAGGAATTCCACTAGAAAATTAAGAGAATCTAAAAACTAAATCCTGTATGCTTTAGTAGCATCATCATCATCATCATCATCATTGTCAGCAATAAGGTA